TATCAGTTGTTAGTGTGCGCTTATCCATTGTGTTAATTTCTTGTGTGCTCTCGTGCTGTAGTGGTGGATTTCTATGGTTTCAAAAGGGTAAAAGTACGGTAAAAGTATTGTTAGGAGTGGGAAAAAGAAGCGCAGCTAAAGAACTGGTTACGTCCAGTCACCAGAAACTCCATAGATTATCCTGATCTGCCAGATGTCAGTGAAAATGACGGTGTGTATAAAGCTAGAAATATTCATGCCTTAATTCATGCACCCACTTTCGTTATGAAACATGAATGTTTGTACACCTATGAGATGTATTCATGTATTCGTAGTATTTCATTTTTTGAAAACAATTTTTAAGAATAGGAACATTTCAACTTTCGCTTAATTTGGGCTTATTCGAAAAAGCGCTGCCACTTTCTTTGGGATTGTTTTGGTGTGAATGTTTGCTTGTTTACTCGGCAACACCTGGCAACTCTGACAATACACGCAGCGGCACTTCGTTGCGTGCGGTTTGGGCCGATTGTCGGCGGATAAAACGCGTTGACTACAGTTTACAGTTAATATGTATGCTCTTCTCTACTGAATCGGTGCACAACGCCTATGCGTTGTTAACAATAACCGCGAGTAAAGCGCATTCTGCCTTTTACGGGAATGGTCGCCCTAGGCGATTCTCTTCACGCTTTAGCACTAAACCACGCCTTTTCTGTGTTGTTTGTACGCGATTTGCTATGCACTAGTGTAGCGTGACTGAACTACTTATTTACATCTTCGTCATCTGCATGGGGGACAGTCTACAAGTCTGGTCAAGAATTTTAGTGGCTGATGGTGCTTTACGCTACACTGCGTTTACCACGTGCTACAACAAAGACCTGGTTAATGGAATAAGCATGTTTCACTAACAATGACACACACACTGAAACCAATGTAAAAAAAAGATGAAATTTACAGTGAAATTATACGACATCATATATAAAATAGCATGCAGTCTGAATTAATTTTCAACGTCTGGGCTTTAAAACATTCTTAAATATTAGCAGACGGTTGCGCACAGTAACTTTGTAAGTACAGTGTAAGCACCGAAGTCTAACAGTTTATGTGATAGTAATATTTCTATGTAGTGGTACCCTACGGCCAGATAAACACAACTAAGGCTCCTTCTATGATCGATAAACTACAGTGCTGTAGTTTACCACTTACGAACAGCGCTCAAGTGCATGACCTGGAGTGTTTTTGTGCGTTTTTTTTACAACCGAGTCACTGCAACACGCTGCAATCACACAGCATTTAATAGTCCTAATGTTTGGGAGCATACTAAGAGCATTTCGCGGTGTGCTTGGAACAGAAAGAGACACCCACTCTGAAATTATTCTGGTGAAAGGAGGGTACAATGACAATAAATAGCACTCTGGAAAGTTGCTTGGCTGCTAATTCATTGTAATAACATTGTCGAGTGCAAGACCAAATGGCTTCGTATGTCATTTTAGGCATACGTAGAAAAGTTGCACTCGTGCCGACCTTACCGGACAAACCATACTTTGGAAACGTGCATGACGTACCACGTGCACATAGAAACACTACGTGGCTAGCAGGAGACGCACGGAGCAATCCACACTTCACCTCTATGGACAGTTTCCACCAGGCGGCGACTCTGCTTGTTCTAATGGCCAATAGAGAGAGAGAGAAACAACTTTATTCAAACCGGCAAGTTTTTTACCGGCAAGTTTTTGAGACACTTGAAAATTTTCACTTTTTGAGGTTGCGTCAGATACTGATAATTCATTTTTAAGGCAATGTCGAGACAAAATGAGTAGCCTATAGCTTTCGGACAGCTTTTATTTTTCTAAGTTTCATCACAACATCAATAAATTCGGCACCATTTAGAGCAAAAATGGCAAGCCCCCCAATTAAAAATTCTCTGTGTTTTGTATATGTGACGTTGCTTCACATTGTAAGGATTTCAATTTTGGAACCATTTTGAGAAAAACGGCAAGCCGATAACCTTTAGAAAGCTTCCATTTCTTTATTTTTTGAGATTACATGGTATTTTGAATAATTAAATTTTGTGAGCATATACAACATAACTACTCATAGTCTTTCGCTGTGCAAACATGATAATTCTATATCATTCAGCATGAGTGAGGCAAATATTTTATTGATGTGGTACGTATACCAAAACTTGTGCAGACAAGCTTAGCGTTAGATTATAGTCTACGCATTAGGGCAGCGCTTACTTGTATAACTTGAGACTGCTGTGGAAATGTTAAAAAAAAAAGGCTTGGCAATTTTCAATACATGTGATCACACACGCAGTGTTTCTGCAATAGGGACCCTCCACCCAAGAGGACCCCGACGTTTAGTTTATTTATTTCTTTTTAAGTTTCTTCACATTTCTTGAGACCAATATGTAGCACTATAATAACTATAGCCCTCACCGCAGCTGTGGCATTGCAAGAGTGTGTCCGCTTCAGCTACAGGAGGTACCAGGTTTGATCCCCAGTGCCGGCCAGCCACCGAGATGAACATGTACATATAGACCGAGATGTACATGTTGCCGTAAGTAGCATATGCATCGTTTCTAGCGCGGTTCTTAGCGGATCTCTGCTATCAGTGGCTCTCTGCATGGTCCATGGGCTGTGTCAAAAGTTTGCAACCCCGCATTCGCGGCGTCATGTTGCTTGCATTTGTTACCCTGCATATGTGTTGTATTGACACTTTGTAAGTATGACTAGTTATTATATTCGGATAGCAAGCTCGTCGATGTAACGGCAGTTAATAAATGCACGATGGAGTGAATATCTCTTTGTACAGAGAGCAAGCGTTTGCAGAGTCCACAAATTGTTGAGCCAACATTACGCCGATATCACACATTGTTTACATGCTGGAAACAACAAGTTCTAAACTTCCGTGTTTCGGTTCACGAGTACTGTACATGTCTGAATACCTCACATACTCAAGAAAAGAGTTATTCACCAAGACAAAGCAGAATCATTTCAATGTGTTTATTGTAATAAAGGGGTCAAACTGACCCGTACACTCAACAATGCCCACTTGGTAGTACCAGAAAGTGCACATTTCTTCCAACTGTTCCTACTCCACCCAAAGGTAACGAGATCAAATGCATGGCGTAAGCCTCAAACACCCACTAACAACTGGTCATGATGGCACGCGCTGATATGCAAAAAAGACATCGGTAACAGGGGTGAAGTCAACAAACAGTAATATCATTTCCTATTGTGCTATTATGTCCAAACCATAGGCCAATCATTTTTCATTCTGAACAAGTCGTTACTAGCATTGTCTGTGGAAGATTGCACAATAATGTGTGCCCGCCGAATTTCTAATGTGTAGCCTGAAGTGCATGAGTTTCTCATTTATGACAAGACTGTTTTTCGACAGGCTTTGTCTTTCCTGGCCCAAGTGACAAAGTAACCCACTACCACAGCACGTTCAGTGCAATTCACGATGAATATAGCGACACGAAAACCAGATGCTGTGGCTGTAACTTTAATTACGAATTACTACAGTCAACTTCTTAAAGCTTAACTCTTAGGATAGCACTGCAACTACACAATTGTGTTACAAAACAAAACAACACCATTGCACTTAACTTTGTTCCAAATGGTATCCATCCCACACTGCAAGTCACAGATAAAAAAATAAACCGAATCCTTTTCAAGCAAACTTTTTAGACAGTCAAAAACTGATGTCAGTTTTTAAGACCACTGATCAATCCATGTCATACCACTATCACCTCCTTTGCTCTAATGATTATATGTCAAGTTTTACAGAGGTTAAAGAAAAATGAAGGCTCAGAGATCAGCTGTAGTAGAGTCTGAACACCTGCAGCCCCATTTTCACAAGAATCCAAAATATGGTGAAATGAAATGATGAACCAGGAAAATGAACCTGAAATTTTTGCTCAGCTGTAAAACGTGCCAGTTACAACTTGTCATTGAGCTATTATTTATACAACTAACTAATGCCTCCCGGCGTTTTTTTATATCTATTAGCAAATTTTTGTGAATGCTTTGAGCACAGAGAATCGCAAACTGTTTTACCAGAAAGATCCACCTCTCTCAAGTAGGCTTCCCAACGAGACAGTTATGCTTTCTTCCATGGACAATTTTTTTATGGCCTAAGCAGAATAAAAAATAGATGTCAAAATAAATGTGAGAGTTATAAACAGAATAAGTAGTGGGCAGAGAGATTATCAAAAGCCCATCGTAAGTTCAGTAAAACCAACTAAAGAAATTTAAAACATGTGGCCAAAATATGGCAACCCATTTTCTTGGCACTACAGTATAACCTCGTTACAACGGACTCTGGTACAACGGACATTTGGATACTACGTACCAATTCGCGGCGTTATGCTGATCTCCCTATCTTTTCCATTGATTTAGCTTCGTTTACAACGGACTCGGGTACAACGGACATTCGGATATAATTGACTAAATTGTGACGCCAGCAAGGTGGTCAGGCCTCCTTTACAGCGGACTTTTCTATCACGGACATCCGAGATTCAATTGTTTCCGATTTCAGGCATCGCTAGGCATAGTTGCGGCACGGGAAAAGCACGCCGGCGGTGTCAACACAAGCGGCGGCCATTTCAGGGAGGCCGCACTTGGCTTGGATTGATCTGGCTGCCGGGGCTGACTTCGACTTCTGTTACATTTAGCGAGCCATAATTTGCAATGATTGCAATGTTGTCAAAATAAAATAAAGATAAAATATAAAAAAATCTTAGTTAGACTCGTAACGGACAATAGTGACCACTTGCATAAAACTGTGGTCAGTGAAAAATAAATAGAAAGCCTGCGCTTGGCAGCGGCCCCTCTCGGAATAAAAGGTTTAGTGGCGCGTATGCTCGGCCCAGCGCAGTCGCTGCTGGCGCCCTGGCGCCGTGTACTTCGCTTTGTTCAATTGGGGCAGTTGGGGCTGTTTGGCCTCATGGTTTGTCACTGTGTATCCTGTTGGCCTCTGTGCATTGCGGACGTGATCGTGGTGTGATGGAACCGATGGAGCCGAACGCATCAGCCAACGCCGTGCGTCACAAAGCAACGAAGCGCAAGCAGATTTTCCTTAAAGACAAGCTTGATATCATCGAGCAAGTTGAGAAGGGAAAGAAGCAGGTGGACGTCGCCGTGGCCTACGGCTTGTCGAAGCAGACGGTTAGCACTATCATCAACGCCAAAGAGGCAGTCTTGGCGAAGAAAGTCTCAGGTGACTTGCAACCCAAGAGGTTCCGGCTCCGCGAAGCTTCATATCCTGACGTCGAAGAGGCCCTGCTGATGTGGCTTCGTGACGCCCGTTCGCGAAATATACCCGTTAACGGACTGCTGCTACGAAAACGCGAGGAGCAACTTGCCGTTGTTCTTAACCAAGAACAGTTCCAGTGCAGCGAAGGCTGGCTGAGCAGATTGAAATCTAGGCATGCCATCGCGTTTAAGTGCCTTTTTGGAAAGTCTGCCAGCGTCGACGACACTGTTGTAGCTGACTGGATAGCAGATGTTCTACCTGCACACCTTGAAGGCTACACACCGCAGGATGTATTCAATGCCGATGAAAGCGGCATTTTTTATAAGTTTAAACCAGGCAAGACTTTTTGTTTTGGCGATGACACATGCCACGGCGGCAAGAAATCTAAGGAGCGCATTAGCGTTCTCTTCTGCTGCAATATGGACGGGAGCGAGAAAGAAAAACTCCTGGTGATAGGGAAGTCGAGAAGACCACGGTGCATGCGCAATATGCACGTTCCCGTGGACTGGCACTCCAACAAAAGTGCTTGGATGACAAAAGATATTTTTAACAAATGGCTACTCGATTTGACAGCAAGATGGTGAAGCAGAAAAGGAATGTGATACTAATCCTTAACAATTGCTCAAGCCATATGCAGCTTCCCGGGCTTCATGCAACGAAGGTGGCGTACTTTCCACCGAACACAACGTCAAAAGCTCAGCCGATTGACCAAGGTATTGTGCACTCAGTGAAGTCACGGTACCGCTCACGCCTTGCTGAGCGTTTGCTTTTTGACATGCAGCAGAAGCGGGACTCAGTGATCGACCTGAAATTTGCCGTGCAGGTGCTGTCAACTGTATGGGCGCAGATTCAGCCAGGAATCGTAAAGAATTGCTTTAAGAAAGCAGGTTTCCGAGTTGACAGCGACTGCACAGACTGCTTGCCAGAGGAATACCAACCAGATCCTGGTGTGTGGTCAGCTGTGGAGGAGGCCTTTGGGAGCCAGTAGTTTTCGGATTACGTCACTGCAGATGATGACCTGGTCAGCTCAGAGCAGCTGACAGACAGATGAAGAGATTGTAGCCCAAATTCGCCAAGTGCCTAATGCTGAGCAAGAAGAAGAACAAAATAAAGAAGGCAACTCAGGGATTGTCACAGAGGAGGTCACAACTTCTCAGGCGTTGGACTACATTCAAGGGCTCAAAAGCTATTTCGAACAGGCCACGACTTCAGATGAAATGAACACACTTGTCATGATGGAGACACGTATAGTGTCTAAAGCTGTCCGCCACACAGTACAGGCAAAGCTGACTAGCTTCTTTCAAAACATTTAATAAATCCGTTATTTGATCCGTTATGTTTGATCCGTTATGTAAATCCGTTATGTTTGTGACTTTCAATTCTATCCTGTTATAACAAAGTCATTACGTGTTTACGTAAATGTCTGTTGTAACAGTACATGGATTGTACAGACTCCTTTTACAACAGACCAAATCCTCTTCACTATGAAGGTCTGTTGTAACGAGGTTATACTGTAGTGAGTACCGGCCACAGATGTGCAGCTAACAATGCAGCACGGTAACAACAAACCACATGCCTACAAGAGTGAAGTGACCAATTTTTAATTGTTGAGACCTTATTGCTGCTGAGCATTAACCAATAAAAGGTAACTTCATCAGTTCCGGACAATCCTGGATCCTGGAAATACGTGCACAACCTCATTTTAAGCGGTGTATGTTTCACTCAAACGAGTTATTACTGGTGCGAGCAAATTGAGAGAAAAACACCAGGTGCTCGGAACTTGAAATACGATCACCCGACAAGCTCATGTAATGAGTTTGGGGGCAGCCCAATGTTGCACAGCCTAGTGCTGCTTCATTCAATGGCACTTCAATGCGTGCAACTACAATGGTACCACTTCATTTACAATGGCATTACTTCAGCTTTATGCACTAATATGTATAGATATTCTAACTAAAGCTTTAAAGTTGTACACACAGTTGATGTCAACGTAACAGGACAAAAAAGGACGATAAATGCAGTACAAAACGCACACTAAACCCTGCAATGACAAATTTGTGTGCACTAATGTTCTACTAAACATTCCTCCCGTGGCACGTTATATACCAGTTTACACAGAGCCAACTGCTTTCGTGCTGTCATCGTATGTGGCCAGTGACGCGTCGGACAGCAACAAAAACCATCATACTGCATCTGTAAATGAAAACGCGAGAAAGTAGAGAAATTACAAAGTGTAAGTACAAAGTTTACATGTAAAGCACATAGAGCGCCTTTTGTTCACGCTGCCGCCTACCGTAAAAGTGTTTCTGCAGGCCCCACTCGATTACTGGGTAGTACTCGAATAGAAGCAGTGGAAATCGATCCTGCAAAGAGATCGTGAAACTGTAAGCCCTTTCAGGAGTGACTTGAGAGGAACTGACTGTCAAATGCGTCAAATTTACAGAGCATTTTTTTCAAGGCACTCAATGTTCTGCTGCAACAAAAAATGTAGTCACCGTTTAACTCGCCAATTATAGCAATTTATACCCATTAACTTAAGATGAAAAATCGATGCTAACCCCATTCATGTTTTTGCAAAAATAGACTCACATCTTGCGATACAGGGAAATTTATGGAGTTACACTGTTGCAGAGTAAAGAAATACTGCAAAATTCTGAAAAGTATTAGATCCTAAGCAAGCACTCCTATAGTGAAAGATAATACACTCATACCTCCTTATAACAAAGTTGGATCTTACAAAAAAATAAGTTTGCTACATTCGAAAATTCGTTATAAAGGTATACTTCTAATACTAGCTATTACAAGACTACTTTTCATTTCTATAATCAATATTTCATTATATCCGTGTTCGTTATGCACAGGTTTGAGTGTACAACAAGATTTGAGGGGGGGGTATGGTCAGGAATCGAAAGTATAGGTGGTGGTGGAAGAGCCGCTAAGAATAAAGAACGAAACACCGTGCTTCTAAATGCTTCATTGACTACACATGCGTTCTTTGTTTTTATTTGCTCTCGTAGGGCAAATAATAATTGGGGAACTCTAGACTTTGCCTTTAACTTCTTTCCTACCGCACCTATTTAAATCGCTCAATTTGAACGATGCATTTCAAGTTTAAATGCTCGAGTTGTCGCACAGTTTAAGAGCGCCCAACACCATCTACGCATGAAAGGAGGAAATGCATGAAGGGATCCACGATGGTTTGCTTGTGTTTTGCTATGGGGGAGTTTTCTCTCCCCGCAGGAGGTTTTCAGATAGCCGCGTGAGCGCGCCGATCATGGCGTCGTCCCAAAAGACGACGTGTTTCTCGCGAATCAAGCGCATCATCAGTCAATTTTCAGGATATAAGCAGCAGTGAGTCTGGAGAACACGTTGACTCATCGTTGTTCAGCACCAATGACGAGAATCCGTCACGTCAAGCCACAGCGCCCATCAGGTGTGTGCTGAATGTGAGGCGCACATTTTGTTGATTAACAGTGGTTATGAGTGGCGGAGTGTGTACTTACTGCAATTTCGCTTGTTTTAGGGTCTCAACGTCATACAGACATGACCACTCGCCCGCGTCTGTCAAGCGCATGCAGCTTCTGCCGAGACAAAACCCGGGGGTCGAAGCCGGCGGCTGTGCGCTCTGAAGTAATGCACGGTGCTTCGTCTGGGCCATCGATTTCTTTCAGTTGTTTTTTTACCACGCAGCCGATCAATATGACCTGCAACCACACGAACAAATATGCACGGACCCATATCTAGAGAAGCAGGCGTACGCGGAAAGAGATGGTTCGTGGAGAAACTTAAGTCCTGATGAAGCAATGAAGTGTACTGGAGTCTTCATCTACACGGGAACAGTTGAGTTGCCTTGCCTCCATCTTTATTGAAACACCTTGGAGTTATTTTCGGGCCTCATTCCTCCGAAGATTATGCCCAAGAGTCGTTTCTTTGAGTTCCTTGCCTTTTTAAGTGTGATGCACATTGAGCAGACCGGCCCCCGTCTGCGATGGCAAGCGGCACAGGATAGCAAGCCTACTGCAGCACATAACTGACGCGTCTTTTCAGCTTTTTCAGCCGTGCCGCAACTTGTGCTTGAACGAGAGAATGGTGAAGTTGAAAGGACGATCATTATTCCATCAGTGTATGCATGACAAGGGGGTCAAATGGGGGTACAAACTCTGAATTAGACAGTGCAACATGTCTTTGAGTGTATGAGAACCCAGAGTTTCTACCGGGAAGAGAGAAACACCCAGCCCAAAGGAACTGGCCTATGACGTAACGCACCTCTGCGACTCATACGTCACCTACGTTGATAATTATACATGTCAACACCTCTGTTTGTACACCTCATTGAGCTAAAAAAACTGTTATGCGAAACGACGCGCAAAGATCGCCGCGGATTCCCCTCCCAGCTGAAAGACAATCTGGGAGAAAAGAGAAACTCGAGGAGACATTCGCTGGATGCGATGCCGTGAAGTGCTGTACCTGCATTGAAAAGACAAGCATGCAGTAAACTTGAGCACAGCAAAGCAGCAAACAAAACATGTTATTGCGATGGAAAAAGTAACGAGCGCAGGCAGGTAGACCAAGATTCCTTTCAGGAAGCCGCTCTTGATTGAAGAATACAACAAGGGCATGCTTGGTGTTGACAGGTCAGATCAACTCATGGCATCATGTAACGTGTTTATGAAATGTGCGAGATGGTGAAAGACACTGTTGTTTTCCTGCATTGACTCTGCCATCTGGAATAGTTTTGTTCTTTTCGAGGCACACCGGAGGGACCACCCCGAAAACAGATGAGCTGTCAAGAAAGTTTGGTTTTGACCAGCTCACACAAGCCCCAGGTGCAAGAAAAGTGTCTAAATTTCAAGCGCTGCTACGACAAGAGAATGGCACAGATGAAAACAGCAGTTTTGTGTCAGCCATGCGGGGTCTATCTTGTTTCATCACGACAAGACACTGATTTCGAGAATGGCACTAAGCGCACCCTCACAAACTTTTTTTTCTGGAAAAAAACAGTTTTTAGCAATCGGTTTTTGAAACTTGTGTACACTTGTTACAACATGAGTACTAGTCACAAATTGTATATTCTGAATTTTTTAACCAAACTTTTGCCACGTTATCCTCCTTTAAAAGTGTTCAATGTGATATCACTGTATAAAATTTTCTGTACAAACATTTTTTCATTATTATATATAATAAATATATGTCAAACATTCATGTTATTGACAACAAGTGTTTATTTAGCTACATTTTGGTACCAAACAATGTAAATGAGGCGCTAGTATCTAGCCAGAACAAATGTATTTCAGACCTAATGAAAAGACCCCCTTTCCTGCAGTAGCGAAAGAGTTAGTGGTATTTTATAAAGGGGCGCAACTGTATTCCGAGTGTCACAAAAAACAAAAAAGGAATAGAGGGTGCATGCCCAGGTAGGGGTGCTTGCTGAGGATTTAACAGATGCACTCAAACCTTGATATAAGAGCCCGCATAAAACAAAATATCAGTTATAATAAAGAAAACCATCAAGTGGTCTTGCAAAAGATATAGTGTTGGGAATATACTTTTATAACAAATTTTCGGATACAACAAACATATGTGTAAGAAGCAACTCTGTTATAAGGTTCAAGTGTACAAGTTTCGACGTTGGTCACTGAAGGTGGAATGTTGAAGAGCTTATGGAACAGTTAAATGACGACAGAGTGGACTCTTGTAAAACGAACTTGTGAAGTTGAACTAATCTAGATCTCCACGAATCTCGAGTCTTTCGTCGCCACTAGATGAAACTAGAAAAAAAAAACATTTTTCCATGCCAACATTTACGGAATGCCTCACAGGGTTAGAGAAAAGGGATGTACACTCAAACCTCATAACATGGTTGAATCCTGCATAAACATCGGTTCGTTACATCTAAAAATTCGTTGTAAAGGTTTCTTCCTAAGGCTGTCTGCTGCAGGAAGGTTCTTCATTTGCCTTGTTATAACAGATATTTTGTTATATCCGGAT